TTTTAAAGATCAAATATATTTTAAAATAATGAAAAAATTAAATTAAATTAACCCAAATGTTTCATCTGCTTCAATTAATAGCTGCTGATGTTTTTGTTCAAGCATTGCTCGTCTTGCATCATCAGCTATCGTAGCAATACCTTGTTTTAATTCAGCAAATTGTGAACTTAACGTTTTATTGCCTGTTTTCATTTTCATACGAATTTCTTCAATCTAAAAAAAAAAACGAAGAAATAATTAAATTTATAGTGGAATTCAAGTGTTTACATTAATATCAATTAATATAAATACTAAATTAAACCAAATATTTAACAATTTATCACATTTAATATTATAATACTCATATATCCAAATAATGAAATTGAATTAGCAATAATGCTATTAAAATTCAATTCAAATTTGCTGCGAAATAAATTTTTTAATAATAATTAGAAGTTATAAAATTTAATTTGCATCACTTACTTGTTTATCAAAATTATCATTTGTAACAGGTTTAATAATTGGTGCATAAGTACGTTTTGGTCTTTCGCCATTTTTCACAGTTAACATTCGTGAACGTTTGTATCTACAAGTGGAAATTTTCAAAATTGAAGGAAAAATGAAAACAGTTGAAATGAAATTTCATTTAATATTTTATACAATAATTCAATCCAGCTTTCTACTTAGAAATTGTGTTTAAATTTATTATTTTATATTTCATCCTCAAATTTGACTTAGTTTCATTTTCAAATAAAACATAAAATTTCAGAAACAAGTTTACGTGTATGCATCAGATTGAGCCTCTTGTGAATTAAATTTTGCACTTAGTGCATTAACAATTCCAAATCTTCGAGCATTTTGTTTCGATTTCTCCTGCAAAATTGAATTTTCAAATTTTTGAACTTCCAATCTTAAAGATTTAAAGATTGGAATACATGAAATGATTTTAATATTTCAGGAAAGTTTAAAACAATTGAATATCAACTTTCAAAAATTGTTTTGTATGGTAAAAAAAGAAAAAAAAAACGAACACTTCCATTCTATTAATAATCCAAACAATGTGTTTTTATTAACAAATAAAAATTGTTCCTCTGTAGATTTAATTTAACAAATATTGAAAGTAAAAATTTAAGTTAGACTGCCCCATTTTTTCATTTCAAATTACTAAACAGACAAAATATATTTGAAAAGGCATTTCAAAATTTTGCTCTCGCTATTTCATTTTAATTATAATTTTCAAAATACTATACAAATTTGAACAGATAATGCTAACATTTTCTAAAGCACGAGCTTTTATTGCTTCATCATTGGTCATATTCATAACTGATTTTCGAACTGCTGATTTATCTTCCTGGAAA